AAAAAAAAAAAAAAAAAAAAAAAAAAAAAAAAAGAGACAGAAGCCCTACTTCAAGAAAACAGGACAACGTGACACCCTTGTTTTTGGATGGAAGTGCTCAAATTTCCCAAACAACTGCTTGGGAAAGAGCACCGTAAGTGACTCAGCCCTCCAAAGGGACTTCACTACCTAAATGTTCTGAGATTTAAATCAGAGAGGCTGGGATTTCCCAGTGCTAAGAGTCCTGGCAAAATATACATGTCACTAAGCAGTGAACATTTAAGGAAGGAAAGGAAGCTTCTTTCTACTCCAAGCTACCACAGATTTGAAGAAATCTCATTGAATCTAGGTTCAGAAGTGACCTTTGGTGCAAGCTCTCTTTTACTCCAGTGCCCAAAGCAAATGGGGAAACAATATCTTACGGGGCATACCTCACAGACAGTGCAGTGCCATCTGGTCTCCACATGATGTTTGCACTCATTGCAGGTGTAAACAAAACGATCTTGACTCTGGGTATGCAGCTCCACCAACATACACATGGTTGACCACTGAGCCCTTCGGAGTGAAGAGAACTCCAGGTGCTTGTCTCTAGCAAGGGTGAGGAAGGCATCACGCCCATCCATTAAGTCGCATGGAATGAGTGGATCAGGCTCAACAATAGGAGGCAGGGAATTGGCTGCAGGGCCAGCAATGAGACGGATCACGAAGAAGACCTGAAAAAAAGAGACCAACACATAAGTTAATCAGCCACTGGCCAGAAGGCTTCAGCCACCAGCCTTAATTATGCAATATATGGAATTCCAAAACTGCTGACGCTTGCATGCATCGAGAAGGGGGCCTGCAGGTCAAAACAGCTGCCCACAAGGGTAGGGAAAGCACTTCCCATCCTTAAGTGCACTGCAGGTGCTCCCCTCTGCTTCTTCAGACACATGACATACAGACCTATTACACAGAGCACTTAAATAGGGGTAGCAATAGGCCTGTGTGAAGCAGCTAGTAATTGCTTTGGATTTGGCCAATTTGGGAGACAGTGATTCGATTTGGTGAGTCAAATCACTGTCCTGATTCGATTTTGGCCAAATCCGACTCGGAGATTTGGCAGCAGCCGAATCTCCGAATCAGCCAGGCTCCTGGCCCCTCTCCCAGCCTGGCAATGGCTGTCCTGCTCGCCCCAGCTCCCAGCACTTGGGGAAAAAAATGGTCCCGGCTCAGCAGGTGCTGCTGGGCAGGGGGTGATCCCTGCTGCCCCCCACTGCCCCACGCTGTGTGGGGAGCTATGCATGAGCTCCCAAACCTCCCCCCCAGCCCCCTCATGGGTGCCCCACACAGGCCAGCTCTAGCTCTTTAAGAAAAAAAAACCTGAAGAAATCCCAAGACTCGCTGCTCCTGCTGGCAGGGGGATGATCCCCGCTGCCCCCTGCCATGTGAAGGGCTCTGCAGGAACCCCCAAACCCTGAGGCTGCACCAGGAGCAGCAAATCCCGGGACTTTTCTCCACCTTTTTTTCCCTCCTTAAAGGGCTGGAGCCCTAGAAGGCTGTGCAGCTGTGGGGGGGCTGGAGGGTGGGGTGTTGAGGGGGCTTGTGCAGAGCCCCCCCCATGCAGCATGGGGCAGTGGAGATCATCCCTCCCCCCAGGAGCACCTGGTGAGCACCGGGGCTTTTTTTTTTAAAGTACTGAGCTGGGGCAGGTGGGGGCAGCCATGAGGGGGCTTGGGGGAGGCTGGGGCCCCCTCCATGGTCCTCTCCCCTAGTACTTACCAGCTCTGAGTGGCTGCAGCCACCGGGGACTGCCCAAATCAAAAGTTCTCTGAACCTCTGCTGAAGATTCAGAGAGCTTTGAATCAATTCGGATCTTTTAATTGGTCCCCTGATTCGATCTGGATTTGGAGATTCGGCCACCAAATCAAAATCACCACCTGCAGCTTTGCACAGCCCTAGTAGGTAACTCCTGGCACAGGTGCCAGAGCATGGCATGTGAAGGCATTTTGCTTGGCATTTGCACCTTGGGGCAGACAGCAGTGAAGGAGCTGTACTGCACTGCCACAATAAGGATCAGGCCCTTCTCAGCTCCCATGCCATCTGCCCCTGCCATGCCAACATCTCACATGTTCAGGCTGCGGGTGTTTTCGGCACTTTGCCCAGAGATGGTGCTGGCCCCTGCACTAGACTCTCTGGCAGGGCAAATACTTTAGTTTCATAAAAGTTCTTTGCACAGCACAGCAGTGATGAATAGTCCCATACTGCTGATGGAAAATAAACCCATGCTTCATTGCCACACCAGCCGCCTGGTGCGCCAACACTGGAGAAGGGGACTGTCTGGACAGGTATTCCAGCTGCAAATATAATCTTGCGTTAAGCCTACAAGCAAGCTTTGAGTACTCGGCCATTAAAATATTTCTTATTCCATCAGATTTTACCTCCTTGTGCTTCTCCATAGTGGCATACAGCTTCTGTGAAAGATCATTGGAGACATTGGGCATGCCAGGCTTTTTCTTATTGCCCCGACTCAAGCTGCTCTTATTTTTACTTGTCTTCTTGTTGTTCTTCTTTTTGGCATTTTTGCTGTCTCCCTTGCTCACCTGTTGGAGCAAGGAGGAATCAGCAATTTTCAATGTGCAAAATAAAAGGT